TGGTATAATATTTACACAGCCTTTTGCAAAGACTTCTCTTTCTAGAGCAAAAAGTATTGGATGACAGTGTTTCTCAATTTACACTGATGAGCGTGATTCTGAGTCTTTCTATGCCTGGAAAGAAATCCCAGAGAGACTTGATGAACACACATTGCTTGGAGATATTGAGGCTGTGCAATGCAGAAGTAGCCATTTAGCATGGGCAAAGGGAGTCTGTTTGATATAATGTAACTTGCATCCAATACAGAGATGATTTCAAAAACAAAAATCCATGCCTTTTTCAAAGTCTCAAATCTATTTAGTCTAAACTGAGTGAATGAGGCATCTCACACAGCATCTGGTGCTAGAAATGACTGTCGTTATCTGAGAAGTTGTGCCTTTCGGCTGAGGACAGGTAAGGACTGAATTAGACCATGAGGAGACCAGGGATGTGCCAGAACAGAGACCTGGAGTCTAGTTAGCCTTGTGGAAGTATTTCACAGGACTGTTGTAAATATCCAGCAAGGTTCCAGCCTGTAGCCAGCACGTGCTTATGCTGGGGAGCAATGCAGTTTTCCGTGTGTCTGCTGGCAAATGTTGGTGGCACATCTCTGCATGTTGCAGGGAGGGGAAGACATGGCACCAGCAGCGTGTGATTCAGCACATGAAGTGCCAGGGGGCCTGAGATGCAGTGTTTACAGAGAGCGCGGCTGCAGCTGGGATGGCCTCATCAAACTACCTGTTGGGTCTAGTCTGTGGCCAACTCTTAACTCCAAAAACATGCCTAGGAATTGTTGTGGGAGACTTAGCTGCCTGTGCCAGGTGCATTTCTGGCAGCTGAAGAGAGTCTGTGACTAGTGTCTGTGGCCACTGTGTGTCCCCTGTTGCCTTCAGTAGTGTTGTTTGGACAGGAGGGTGACAGGGCTGGCAGTGGTGGTGTATGGCTGCTGAAGGAGAGGAGGTCGTCCAAGACAGGTGAACTCTGCAATAAAATGCTTGTCTTTTCTGAGAGAAGGCAGTGTGCAAGAATTTAGTAGTCCAGCCTTTCACTAGTTTTGCATTTTTGAGTGTTTTCATATTTCTGTGATGTGTCTGAAGATAGATAAAACCTCTCCAGTTAATACTGTGTACAGAAGTCCCTCATTCCATATGCTATTTTGCTGTCACTTTTGCTAAAATACCTCTGTTAAACAACTGGGTTTGGGGTTTGAACATTAGGCTCACAGAGTACAGCTTTCAGTGTTTAATAACTGGTTTTATTGCTCCTTGTAAATAATCAAATTACTGTATTCTGTACCAGAACCAAGAGTAAAACATTTTCTGATAGCAACAGCTGTAGAGGAGCCTGGCTGCACAGCAGCGGAACAGCAAGAACAAAAACTGTTTCTTGGATAACTGTTACTGCTATGAATAATGAATAGTTTTTCTGACAAAACATAATGCTATTAAAAATGGAGGTGAGATGATGTGATGGATCAGTATTTATTTCTTTCAAAGCGCCATTTCTTGTACCTGTCAACAAGCATTCTCTGTGTTTAAGTGAACTGCACTTCTTTTCTTTGTAGACAGTGCTAGGCTTGTGAACTCATAACTCCAGCAATCATCCACTACTCAGGAAAATTATCTTCTGAATTTACAACAGCACTTCATTTGCCTGCCTTGGCTGCAAATTTTAGAATTAGTTAATTTTGTACTTTGTTTATGTGTTTGTCATAGTGAGAGACTCAGGAACACTGCTTGTTTCTCAAGCAGTGAGAGACTTGAGAGAGATTATAAATCTGTAATTTCATTTTAAGGACTTTTATGGTGTTATTCTTGTATTATTAGTTCTTTTATAATTTGAATATATATATAAGGCAATTTAAGTCATAAGAACCTCTCAGTGTCACATTCTGCCACTTGGCATTGTAATAAATATTACTTCAGTCAAGAAATGTTCTTGCTTTCAAAGGTGTTTTTAATACCACTGCTACACAAAGAGACTGCTCACTGTAGGCAACCCCTTGAATGGGTAGATGAACCCCAACATAACTTAGGGGTGCAAAGCCAACTCCATAGCTCCTGACTATACTGTGATTTATTGTGTAGCTTTATATGTGGTCTCCTATTGCATTGTGGTGAAACTGAGAGGCCAGCATACTCATTAGGTGATTTAAACTATCTCCGTGAGTGGAAAACATTGATTTGGGGACTGTAGATCGTCAATAAGTTGCTCATGTGTGAAATGAAAAGCCACCTTGAGGTCAGCTTCCAGTAAATTCATCTTGAGCTCAGGCAAGTTGGAGACACCTGGCTAAGCCCACTAATTGTTTGATTGACTGCTATGACTTGAAAAACAGGATAGAGGTATCAGACAATTATGACTTAATCAGAACTTTTAAACACTTCTGCTTTTTCAAATAAAGAGATCAGGATCTGTAGCAAATGCAGCTGCCACAGGGCAGCACAGCCCAGTGGTCTGCAGTGATAGGAGCCCACAGACTTCTTGATTTGATGAATTGCATGCCAAGGTCTTTAGACAACCAAATTCATGAGACGTGAACTACCGCACTGGAGAGCAAAGGGACAGTGGAGGTCAAAGGGTGATGCAGGCAACAGTGATTTCTTGGGGTTTCAGCAGGCTGGAGCTGGCTGCAGGGGGAATGCAGCAGGTCCAGTACCATCTGCCTCAGCCACTTTGTGTGCTGCTTTTCTCCCCATGCTGAGGATTCCAACTCCACAACAATCCCTGTGGCAGTGCCAACTCACTTCTGACTGCATAAGACATGAGGTAATGAGAGGTCAAAAGAGTGTATCAGAAAACATTGTGATTCTTCTGCTTTTAAGTTGTACTTTTTTCCAGTTCACTAAGAGGTCTTGTCTCCAAGTGGGTGATACTGCTTTGATCTATGTGCCCAATGTGTGGCTTATATGGCCGTAACTTCTTACTTGCCCAATATAATTTTTTTGAGGAAGTCACCAATGCTGTGTCTCCTGTTACCACCATTGACATTGTACTTTTCTTAACCCAACATAAGCTAAAGAGTCTATTTTTCAAGTGGCCTTGTAGTGCCTTACAAATTTTACACTTGTGAGAACAGTGCTTAGGTAATGTAGGTATGGATTTTGTATAGGCAAAACGGATATAGAAACTTTATGGACGTGTTTTTGGTAATCTGTACTTGGGCATTTCAGGAATACATGTTGTGAAGGAGTAATTAATGACTAGTAAATAACAAAAAGGTTCCACATTCTTAACTGAATCCCTCGTCCATGTGCTCTATCAATTAAGGGTACCATCCTGTCAGGTTCTGAAGAATTTTTTTTTATCTGTTGCAGTTATTAACTATAAGTGTCATGGGTTGGCTGTGGCTGGATGCTAGGTACCCACTAAAGCCACTCTCTCACTGCCCTCTGCAACTGGACAGAGAAGAGAAAAAAAAACCAGCTAAGGATTCATGAGTAGAGATAAGAGCAGGGAGAAGTCACTTACTGATTACCTTCACTGGCAAAACAGATTTAAAGTGGGGATATTACTTAAATTCACTACTAACAGGATCAGACCAAAGGAGTGAGAAGTAAAATAATCTTAAAAACATGTTCCTCCAACCCCTCCTTCCTTCCATGTTCTCCCTCCCCGCCCCCTGCAGTGCAGGGGGATGGGAAATGGGGGTTATGGTCAGTTGTTTCAGTATGCTCAGGGAGAGGAGTCCTTCCCCTGCTCCTGTGGTGTCCCTCCCATGGGAGACAATCCTTGATGGACCTCTGGTGTCATTCCATCCCTTGGGCAACAGTTTTTCCCAAACTACTGTCCCATGGGTCACCTCTCCATGGGGTGCAGTCCTTCACGAATGAGCTATACCGGTGTGGGTCCCCTATAGGGACCACAAGTCCTACCTGGGAAAAATCTGCTCCAGTGTGGGCTCCTTTCTCCATGGGCTGCAGGTCTCCAGCAGGCACCTTGGGCCTCCCACAGGGTCACAACCTCCTTCCTGCATCCACCTGCTCCAGCACGGGCTCCTCCATGGGCTGCAGGGGGATCTCTGCACCCCGATGGTCCCCCATGGGCTGCAGGGGCACAGCTGCCCCACCATGGGCTGCACCACGGGCTGCAGGGCCTCAGCTCCAGCTCCTGAGCACCTCCTGCCCCTCATTCTCCACTGACCCTGGTGTCTGATTGTTCCTACGTTCTCACTCCACTCTCCCCTGGCTGGAGTTCTTTCTGTGCAATACCTCTCTGTTCTTAAATACGTTATCACAGAGGTGTTACCATTACTCCTGATGGGCTTGGCCTTGGCCAGCAGCAGGAAGTCCATCCCGGAGCTGGATGGCATTGACAGTGTGCTGTCTGTGCTTCATCTGGGGCATGCACTGAACTCTGCTGTGCCCAATCTGAGACTGAGGGGCAGGTTGGGAGTCCTAACAAGGGGAAGGGCCAAAGCAGCACACCACACCCCTTCCAGAGATACCAGTCCTATGAGTCTCTAATTTAGTTGTGGCATAAGCTGTCATAAGCTAATTGGGATAAGAAAAGATTTCTGATAATTCACAGGCTATTTTTATTTTATTTTATTTTATTTTATTTTATTTTATTTTATTTTATTTTATTTTATTTTATTTTATTTTATTTATTTACTACCATGTCTTTATCTATTGGTGTGAAATGCTATCACTGCAGTAAAGCTCTAAGGATTTATGCAAGCCAACAGGAACATGACTTTTTGCCGTGCTCCCTATGGAACCACTGCTATTTTATTAAATAAGGTGATTTGGAAGAAATCACCATTGAATTTGATAACTCATACAGCTGACCTAATTTTCTCTTGAAAGATTTAAGCTTTTCTAGTAGACTTGATGGTCTGTCAAGCCAGCATCAAGAATTTCTGCCTTTTCACTAGTGCATGACTGTCATCCTGACACACCAATCTAAACTGAATTACAGCAGGAGGAACCATTACTTAGGATTACTAGAAAAGCTAGTGTAATTGTTTTACTTAAAGAATTATATTGAAAACATTACTAATCTGTTTTTCTCTTCTCAGTTGGTAGCCTCCATCGTGTTTATCAGCTTTGGTGTGGTAGCAGCATTCTGTTGTGCAATAGTTGATGGAGTGTTCGCAGCACGACACATAGTAAGTATAGTGATTTTGACATCTTTCAATTTTGATTAATAATGTAATTTCTAGCAGAAAAGCATTTTCTTTTGATTTATGTCTAGCAGTATATTATAGTTATTGATAGTTCTTGTTGGAGATTTCAAATACAGAGGTGATATGAAAATGAAAGGCATGCTAAAAGGCCTATCTACTTGGAAAAAGGAGGACACTTCAACCACCACCATAATTTGTTTCCTATCACACAAAGACTTTTTGGGCGTAGTAAAGATTTGGAATGCATCAGATGCTGATGAGCACCAGAACACTCCAGACGATTTGAATATGCCAGTTTGCATGTTAGAAATGTGTTGCTTGCTATACTTAAAAATCCATCAGAATCCAAGCTTTTAACTGATCTTTGATTTCCAAAATCCTCAGGAAATAAGTAGTCATATGTGTTAATAAACATTAGAGGTCAAATATAGTGTGCTACATAATACAGCAAGTATGATTGTATACGACCCTCTCACTGCTTTGAAGTACCATGGGCCTGTTCATCTTTCTGCTTACATTCATTGAGGGGCAGCATAACTCCACTGGCATCAATAGAACCCTGCTTGAACTTTTGTTAGCAAATACATCAGAATAATTAGGCTTTGGACCACTTGGAGCATAAAGTTATAAACTGATTTCTTTTTTGCTGTTACTGAAGAGGACTTTAAACCAAATGTGAATATCAGAACCTCATGTGCATTGCACAAGGAAGGAGACATCCATTAGTATAAACACATGAAGTGTGAAATGTGAGCATGGATAAATGCTCTGGATTGTAAGCATGTCTTGTGCTACATAGATACTACATGATGTTGAAGTGACCTGCTTTTTCTTGCATTTGCCCTGTCATTGCTCTGGATGACGCCTGGTATAACTCGGTCTCTGGCTGGCGTAAGCCCAAGGAGCCTTTCCATGAGAGTTGGTTAAAAGAGGAGGGGAACAGATTTCTATTTAGGTTTCCCGCTCTTGAAAATTCTGTGGTTGTGCCCTGCAAAACCACTGCCACTTATTCAAATATTAGACCTGTCCCAGAACGGCTGAGAGAACTGAGGTTTTATAATCTGGAGAAGAAGAAGGCTCGTCGCTCCCTATAACTTCCTGACAGGAAGTTGTAGTGAGGTGGTGGTAGGTGTCTTCTGCCATGTTCCAAGTGAAAGTTTGAGAGGAAATGGCCTCAAGTTGTGCCAGGGCAGGTTCAGATTGAATGTTAGAAAAATAATTTTCACTGAGTGGTTAAGCATTGGAATAAGTTGCCCAGGGAGGGTGTAGAGTCACCGTTTCTCAAAGTATTCAAGAGGCGTCTGGATGTGGCACTTGGGGATATGGTTTAGGGGTGATTATGGTGGTGCTGCATTGATGGTTGGACTAGATGGTCTTGAAGATCTCTTCCAACCTTGATGATTCTGTGACTCAGTAATTTCCCAGGAACCAGCCTTGTTTTTGTCCTGCTTTGGTGTGATCACTAGGAAGTGTTCAGGTGGCACTTGTGCAGTCTTATACCTTATAACCACAGTGCAGCTGTGCAGCCACAGCCCCCCATGGCTCAGGTTAGGCACTGAGTTTCCTTCTCTGAGGCGAGTTACTGTGTCAGAGGACAGTGTATACTCAATCTCAAACACAGAGACAGGCATCTCTCCTGTCACCTTTCTAGGTGTTTCCTTTGTCAGTTTGCACTCTCTTGGCCCTGTCCTCCTTTCACATGTTACTTAGCTATCCTAGAAATGACACTGCTTCCTATCTAAATCAAGCAATGGTATCATGTTAGAATGTTAACATAGCCTTATATCTGAAGAAACAGTGTTTCATATGCAATACCTAGAGTTTATATTTGCTTTCTCTGCATTATAATATAATTAGCTGCATGAGATTGCTTGCTGTCGTGGCACGCCCTTGATGTGTGTTTATGAATTAAAAGTGATTCGGTTCATTGCAGTGCTCTCTGGGAAGAAAGTCGGTCAGCAAGTGGTCAGAGAACACCAAGGCACAAAGTCGTTGCACTCACCCACAAAAAAAGCATCTTACACTCTTGGGTGCAGTTCTATATCTGGTTATATCGGTGACTGGGTATGACTGCATCATCTGAGCAGGACTGGAGGCTGGAAGGGACTGGCCACTATGCAGCCATTCCCCAGAGTGCTGGAGGTATACAACCCAATGACATGAATCTGCTTCCATGATATCATGACAGGCTTTATGGAAAACCGTTTCCAGCTGTTTACATTTGGGCTGAGTTTTGTCATATCTGTCTCTTCTGGTTTCCTTCACATGCTACAGAACAAAGAAATACTTTGTAGTACCTTTTGTTGAAAAACTAATTTGCATCTCAACATAATCACACTCAATCTCATTCTCCTCCTCTGTTTAATAAGGAACTTTATAGCATAAGGTGAAATAAAGGTGTACATCATCTAGTTTCTCTAACACATCTGGGAGATTCTGCAGGGGTGGTAGTGTAAGTACACTCCCAAATTAACTTACAGTTAACGGTGAGGCCTTATCAAAAGAATGTGTGCATTGCAGACTACAGTGTCATTGCCATTGTATTACATCCTCTTTGCATCACAGCTCATTTGCTACAGGAAAAGCAGTAAATGTCACTTTCAGTCCATTCCGTACAGGCCAGTACCAGCCATTTTCAGACCTGTGTTGTGCTGTTGCCACTTTGGCCACTGCCTTTGGGGGATAGCTGCTGGAGAGTTGAACTAAACAGTCCTCCAGTGAGGGAAAGGACAAACTCCTGGCATGTCAGAGCAGGTGCCTAAGTCTATACGAAAGCCATAAACTTTTTGTGAGAAGAAATAGGGCAGCACTGACTATTCTGTCTCCAGTATCAGGATGTTGATACCAAGGCTCCAGGTCCCTTTTCTCCTGGAGGGAGAAGTGCTAGCCAAAGCCAGGCAGTCCTCAGACCAACAGCAAATACAACATCCTTCACATCAATTTGGTAAGAAATGTGTCCTGTTTTTCTTTTTGTTTTTAACTTCATTCTAGCTGGGAAGGATGTGAAGAGGACAAATCACATAATTATAGATTTTTCTTAGTGTGTGCCCAGTGTGGAATGGAGACTATTATTGCTGCATATTTTCTCCTGCACTTGTAAAACAGTGAACAGAATAATAAAATACTTTCTCTATTTTATTTTCTTCCCAAGAAGGCATAAAATTGATAACAATTCTTTCAGGAAAGGGATATATTTCAGAGAAGAGATACTTAAATTATTTAAGCCTCACTTTACTTTATAGAAAACTCTGGAGCACACCATTTATAAAATTAAGAACACTGAAGGAAAAATAGCTTGATTTAAAATAGCAGTAGCTTATTTAAAAAATAATGCAGATGTAATTCACTTTAAAAAAAAAAAAAGCCAGAATCAAGGGAAACAAATCAAAACTGAAATTAATGTGCAGTGATGTTATTTCAGAAAAATACGATGATCACAGGAATTCATTATGTGCATTCATCTTTGCTTGAGACATTTTGTTATTTAGCAGATGAGAATAGACCACTTGTGCTAATGGAGATCATTCAACAGCTTCCTCTCACCACACAGGGACATGCCCTGTCCCACCTCATATACATGTTCTCCACAGTACCTACTACCCTCCTATCCGTGACTGTAAGGCTCAACCACTGCCACATGACCCTTAGCTTTGCAGTTATTCTCCAGGAAGAACCTAAAATAACCAGAAGGAAAAAATCAAGTTATGAAGTGAGGAAATTGCCTGCAAGAGCTTCCTGAGAAGGTTAGGAAAACAGGTAGCAAAAGCACGGGCAGAGATTTTAAGATGTGTATCTTCTTTTCACATGCTCATCTGGGAATCACAGAACATTGTTACTGTTCTGACACATGGCCAGTCACATTTTCCTGAAGTATGGAATATAAAGGGACTCAGACATGCCTGAAAGCTCTAGGAGAAACCAAGGGCTCAGGCAGGAGAAGTCCTCTCTGCTTGATTGTAAGAACTGCCTTTTGATCACACTGAGTGGAATTCACAGACCACATCCAGACAGACTTATTAGAGGGGATTCTCTAAAAAGAACAATAAAAACTGAAGAACTTGGAATAATACCAGTGAGAACACCTAAAGATACATTAGTGAAATTACACCTAGTGATTGTTGCCATTATCCTTTCTCTATACGTCTTCAGCTTTGTTTTCTCTGTAACAATTCTTAAGGTGGCTCAGTGCAGCCATAAATACATCCCTAGGCCTTCCTTTCTCCTCATTGAACAAGCCCCGTTCCTTCAGCCAGAATCACAGAATCAGTTAGGTTGGTTCTAAAGGGTCTCTGAGATGATCAAGTCCAACCTATCACTGAGCACCACCATGTCAAATAGACCCTGGCACTGAGTGCCATATTCAGTCTTTTTTCTTGAACAGCTCCTGGGATGGTGACTCCACTACTTCCCTGGGCAGTCCATTCTGGTGTATAATCACCCTTTCTGGGAAGAAATTCTTCCTAATGTCCAGTCTAACCTCCCCTGGTGCAGCTTAAGACTGTGTCCTCTCATCCTGTCACTGGTTGCCCAGGAGAAGAAACCAACCCTCACCTGGCTACAACCTCCTGTCCGGTAGTTGTAGAGAGTGATGAGGTTTCTCCTGAACCTTCTCTTCTTCAGGCTGAACAACCACAGCTCCCTCAGCCTCTCGTCACAGGACTTGTGTTCCAGATCCTTCACCAGCTTTGCTGCCCTTCTCTGGACACACTCCAGCACCTCAGTGTCCTTCCTGAATTGAGAGGCCCAGAACAGGATGCAGTACTCAAGATGTGGCCTCACCAGTGCCGAGTACACGGAAAGAATCACTTCCCTGGTCCTGCTGCCCACAATATTCCCGATACAGAACCCATTCTGGTACATCCTGTCTTTCAATCCCCTCCCTGATCATTTAGTGGCCCTCCACTGGTCAGACTGTAATTTGCTAAGGTCTTTCTTGACTTGGAGAGGGATTAAAATTGGCTGCCATACTGAGATGTGGCCTC